CTTCTCTTAGTGAAAAGAAAAAAGGTAAGAAACAACGGATTCATCGAATTCGAACGTGACACGTTGAAATTTCTGATATGAGAATTTTCTGTTTAGGGGAGGGATATTCGTCGCGTTTTTCTCTTAACCTCCCTTTGCTGGACGTGGATGAGAGGATTAAGTAGACCTTGCCATCGAAGTAGCTTTTCAAAAAAATTTCTCCCCCGTTTGGAACCGCGACGAATGGATTTTTATTCATTGCGAGAGAGAGAGAGGAGGGAGAGAGACTTTCGAGTCTCTGGATACGAGACGCGTGGTAATTGATTACCGATTTCTTTCGGTGGGGCAACATGCGCGTTTGGAAGGAACGTCTGGATAATTTCAGATAGTTTCTATCTTGTGTCCATATCCACGTTAAAGGCCGTGAAACGATTTATAACCAGTTCGAGCCACTTATGCGCGGTTATATGCATATTCTTCATTCCCCTGGCCTTAGGGGAAGACTATGGAATCGATAAATGTATGTGTCTTTCTCGGAAACGCCCTGCGTCATTACTTTTCTTTTCAATGTTGGCCGCTACGATAAGATAAGTGTCATTGATATCGAACAGTCATTAGATGTCGATCAATACCTGTGAATGCATTTTTTTCGGCATTTTTCCCTCTCTCCTCGCTCTGTGGGAAAATGCGAGCAATATTTGGTTTTTGCTAATTTCGAATGTTGTTAAAAATGTTGAAATTATAATTTTTCAATCATCATAATGTGGAGAGGAGCGAAGCGAGTTTCAGAAGGTTCTTCGATAAATTAAATTTTTCAATCGTTTCTGAAATCAAGGTAGAAACGAAACTTTAAAGGTGAAACCTTAACTCGTTTCCATTTTAATTTTATGGTTTCGCGTGAATTTTGTCAATATCCCTTTGAATTATAAAATACGATACGAGATTTTAGATCTTAGCCGTGTTGCTAATTTGGAATATTGGAGATGAAGGTAATTTAGAACATGGAATATTCCAAGAACTACGTTATTCGTATTAGTTAAATGATGAAGAGATATCGATTAACCAAACAAAATGGAAATAGAGCTGTATTTAACGAAGACTTTGCAAAACAATCGATCGACTCTGTATCTGTGCAACAACAAGGAGGGTTTAAATTTTATGATTTAATTATTCCTATATTGCGAAATCTTTTGCTTTTCTATTCGTTCTCAATATAATTTTTTTTATCCCCATCTTGAACAAATATTGCCGCTAGAATTTTTTCCTCTGCAGTTTTTTTCTTTTCTTTTCTTCTTTTTTTTTTTTTTGGAAATTGAAAATGAACGAAATATTTGCCCACGTGTCGCTTCTTGTTTGCCCTAAGATTCACACTTCGATCGTGTAGATTCCATGTACTTTCACAAATTGATACGCGCTTGTCGGGGCTTGGAAAATTTACTTTCATTTCTCGATATTCTCGTATCAATCCAAAGACAATTCCTAATCAAGTTACGTAAGTTTATCCACTTCCGTGGTTTATAAACACACGGTTTCCATTGCAATTGATCCCTGGTACACGAATCTTTAAATTAATCAGAAATAATCGTCGAGATGTTCGTGTTTCGTTGTTTGATTTATGAATAAAATAACAGCGTAGGTGAAAGCATTGCAAAGTCAGTTTTGCGTTATCGGGATATATTCCCTCGTGGCTGCCTGTTAATGAAAGTTTTCAGCTCATCAAGTATGGTATCATACGTAGCATTGAATTCGTTGAAATTCTATTCAGAGGTTGTATAATGTTGTATAGATAGACGTTGTAACGATTTGATGTTAAACACGTGGGAACCGAGAAACTGTCAAAGATATTTAACGATAACGAGATTTTTCTATTTTCCTCGTTCCTCCTTCACTCTTGTATTCATCTTTTCTTTCTCGGATGCAATGGGATAGCGAGCGGTATTATTGTATATCGCGTCTCGATTTCGTGTCTGACGTTTGCTCGATCATTACTACTTCGAAGAAACTTGGATCTCGTTATCGGCGCACGATTTGTATTATTAATCCGAACATTTTTTCCGGGAGGAGGGGGAAAAAAAAATTAGAAGCTTGGAAAATCGCTTTTCTTAAAATTTTAATTTCAATTAAAATAAAATTTCGACTTTCAACTTTCAACTTTAACAAGGATATCCTTTTTAAAATTTCTTCCTCTATCAAAGATTGTTTCGCTTAACGTGTTCTCTATTTTATTTCCCGTTATTATTATTAACAATAATAATAATAATAATAATAATAATAATAAACAAAGGCCATTCGGTGATAAAGATATTTTTCGAGCTTTCTTTCACTCTCCTCTCGTTCCAACCACTCGATATTCTTCATTGTTGTTCAATTCGCTTTTAATGGATTATTTTCCTTCAACAAAACTTCTCTTCCCTTCTCCCTTCGATTTCTACGCGCGAGAAATCACGAAAATGGAGAATCGCGAAATTCGTTTGCAAATGAACGAACGGGGGGGATAAAACGAAAAGGAGAAAAAAAAGAAAAGAAGGATAAGCAAGAGGTATCAGATCGAATTTACGAGAATTGGAATCGTATGAAGAGGGGAGGGGGGGGCATACCTGTGAGAGATGGAACGAAAGTCGATTTTCATGGCGTCGATGTTAGATTAATAATTTACCCTCTGTCTGGGGTCGACGGACTCGGTAATAAAAGAGGGTGTACTGTTACTTAGACTTTACTCATATGCATTTTCACGGCCAAAGGTGGTTGTTTCGCTTTCTTGCCAGCCAACCTCGGTTCGAGATATCGCTCAAAAATTGTAAATTTACTTTACGCTTGAAACAAAGTACTTTTACTTTTGAAAATTATTTCCAATTAGGACGGTTCGATTTTCTTCGAAGTGTATATTTCAAGTATTATCAACGACAAAAAAAAAAAAATTGAGAGATAAATTTTTCGCGTGAAATCTCGAACGTTTCTATAATCGTAATATTGACACATGGACGAATACTAGATATGATCGCGTTTGTTTGTTTTGAGCAGATACAACAAATTTGTATGCAGCGTTGAACAGATATATATATATATATATATTTATAATCGAGCTTATTATATATTTACGAATTTCTTTCTTATTTTTTCCTCCTCGTCCGGAGGATCGATTTAAAAAGGAGGAAACCGCGGAAAAGAGACGTGTAAAAAAAAAAAGTTTGCCAAAAGGAATATTCCAATTGGCCCTCCATGAGGCCTCCTTGGTCAGCAAAGACAAACGAGTGTTTGAACAGTCGTCAACCATCCTTTACCCCAGTTGGCGATACGCCAAACACGAACTCGAAGAAAGAAAGAGAGTGCCAAAAATATCCTCGGAATAGGTGCTTCGAATCTCGTTAACGAGCAATTATTTCCCTTTTCTCTTCCGCCGAAATCAGATAATTCTCAATGGAAATAATACGACGCGCGCAAACCCGCCCTCTTTCACCGTTTCCAATGAAGATTTTCTCGATGACACCTTTTTTTAGAGAAATTCATTCTTCACGATCGTGATACTTTATATTACCGATTTTCATTTCTTCATTTCTATTATATTCTTCAATAATCAGCCTCGAGGGAATGGGAAAGGGGAGAAGAATGATAGCAATAGCGTAATTCTAGGGTCGTCGTATCCTCTCGAAGCGGCCAAGCATCGCACTATAACCACACGATCGTCTCGCGAGCGTGGCAAACAAGTAACCCCTCGATTGCTCCAACTAATGCAAATAACGGTTTCGATCAACGCTCGTGTATCTCGATTACGAAAATGTTCTTCTCGTTATAATCGAAGATCGGCCACGCCAGATATTCGTCCCTGGAAATTAAGTTTTTATCGCCCGCCAAGCTGATTGAATCCTCTTAGGAAAGAGAATAATAACAATATGGTGGACCAGATGTTTTTGCAAAAATTAATCCCCTCGTATAGAATACAATATTGCGCAACAGCCGCCGTGTACATGAATATGCATATATATATATATATATTTATATCCGACAGTTGTGTGTTGTGTTTCGACATCGCGAAGCGTGTTTCGCCAGTGCTTATGCAAAATACAATTTATACAAAGTATTCGAAGCTTAAACGCGGCTTAAAACGATATTCGAATCCCTCGATTAAATGGAAAAAAAAAAAAAAAGGAGCTCGAAGATTAATCGAAAATGCAATTTTCGTCACCGCCTCGAAAACGGGCCGGTGTCCCATTACTTTCCAACACCTCTCTCTCTCTAATTCTCTTACGGAAGTTGATGGCGAGAGGACCGATTCCTCAACCGCAACACAACTTTTCTCGCGTAATTAGTTTTTCTTGGCTTGTTCGGGAACGCCGAACGCCTTCTAATTTTGTATCCATCGCGTGTGCCTCTTTCCTGAAACGCCGGATAAAATTCGTCGAATGCAAAATTCGCTCGGAAAGATCAGCAATACGTGCGCCGAATTCGATACGATCGAACGATAAACGCAACGTCGTACAATTTGATCGGCCAATAATATTTGTTAATGCTTATTATACGCACCTGGGATATCTGCTTTATCGTATCGTTTTAGAAAAGAAGAGAGAGAGAGAGAGAAAGAGAGAGAGATAGAGGAGACCCAAAACTCTATCTCCACTCTTATAAAGGGAAAGGTTGAAGGGTGATCAAGTTGGTATTCTGAGGGGAGGATGACCGGCGTTGCGAAGAAATGCGTAATTATTATTTCAACGGGAAAATTCGACAACAAGAGAACTCCTTCGAGGCGACCAAGTATCGAAAAACGCTTTGGCGTTGGGATCATATTAGAAAATATGATGGAGGGGGGCAAGAGTGATCAATCAAGATTCGATTCATTGATCTAAACGATACGTATTTATAATACTTTTACGATTCGATTCATTCGATTCGTGGAAGGAAACTTTGTATGACGACTTTTAACGCGGTTCTCTGCGGATTCTTGTCCCAATGTCGTTTTTTATCATTTTCCAACCGATCGAACGAATAAAAGGAATGGAATAAGAGAATATCAGATATATACTTACGGGTTCCATCGAAGCGAGTAGCGATAGTATCTAGGAAAGTATTTTGTGGGGCGAGGAGGCCCTTCCTGACCGGCATTGGGGCCACCCCGCCGCGCTGTCACGCGCTCGAATCTGCAAAATAAGGGATACGATTTTCATTTTCAGCCAAAGTCATGCGATCTTTACGTGTAAGTAAAGGGTGGTCGAAGCTTGGAAATGTATGCACGGAAAAAAGAGCAGGTAGGTTTGACAGGTAGGTCAGTGGTCCAATGAAAATAAAGGATTGCATGTTGCGCGGTAGTTGCAATGATAGATGATCGCAGGTCCAAGCAAAGTAGAATGAAACTATTTTTAGCCGAGAGTTTTTAATTTAACACGTTTCAAAAGCGGTCGAACCCCTTTGGGGGCTGAAAATCTGCCTCGATTTTTATTTTTCCCATTTATTTTTGCACGCGGATATTTGCGATTTATTTATTTATTTTTTTTTTCTACTTGTCGCTTTATTTTCTTTTTTTCTACCTTCAAATATATACATTGCGTGTATACATATATATATATATTTTTCTTTCTTTCTTAGACGGGAAAGTTTCATGAGCAGTTGTGCAATTTTATGGGTAGGTGCAGAAATGCATTTGCAGAAATAAGGATCTCTTTCCTTGGTGGAAGTTGGTGATATTCATAGCTTTTCATTATTGGACAGTTCTATTGTTACCCACGTTCTTTCAATGGTATTTGCGATTTCATTTTCATTTGGAATTAATCCAATTGAATTTAAATTTTTTTCCTTTTTTCTTTCGTTTCAATCATCATCGAATCATCATTAATGTAATACAATCATGATAATTTTCAACGATATTATTCATCCTCAATATTCTACACTATTCCGATACACGTGTAACTAAAATTGATTAAACATCATTTTAATTCGAAATAACAAGCTTGAATCTAATTATGAATAAAAATTAAGCTTAGATTATTTTTTGGAAGAATTAACGATTTGATCGAACGAGTTGATAGAAAAACGTGGAAAGATTTTTAATTTTCGAAAGCGAATTAATTATAAATGTATCGATCGATATTATGATATTTTCTAGAAGCGGATTAAAGAGTATAAGAAGGATGTATTTTAAAGGTATTTATTTATTTTTTTATATGCATGCATAAAATGCTGGACAAAAAGAAAATGATAAATTAATATTTATTATTCTCGCCAATGTGTCCCAACAAATTACGCACGTTAAAAGATGAGAAAAGTCTTTTTTTCACACATTCGCAACTCATTTGCATTTGTATATTTGTAATGATTTCTTTTATTCCATGCATTCCCATTTCTTTCGTTATTTATTTATGAATAAATCCATATGCTCGTACAGTGATACAGAGGGATGTAACAGGTGTGAAGAGAGGACATAACAGATATAGGATACATTCATTACGTGCTTATCCTCTTGTAGAGAGGGGAGCATCACCATTTACGAAATCACTCCTTTGCTCGCTTAACATTGAAAAAGCTTGACAACAGTCTCAACAGATTATTTACACATTTCTAAAAATATATCTCTCTTTCAGAAGATTTTTCGTCCGACCATCTCCTCTTAATCCTATCCATCATAATTCTTTACCATCTTATACTCAACCCTCTTACGAGAAACGAAAATCTCGCCTCGAATATCATTTAAAAATCATTTCGAACCTCGTATTATAATCACGAGTGC